CGTGATGGGCACCGGGCTCCCAGGGAGAGACAAGCTGCCTCTCTGTGTTGTTGACCAATAAAGCCGTCTCTGTTTGCCAACGAGAAATGGTTTACTAATAGCCAGACAGACGCTTCCCACTTCGAGGCTCAGCAAACAGACATTTCAGCCCAAAGACTTGCCTGCCTTTCCATCTTTCTTTCTGTCTCTCTCTGTCTTCCACCCTCCGTCCATCCTTCCCTCCTTTTCTCTCCTCCGGCGTTCCTTCTCTTTCCTCCCTCTCTCCATGCCTGCCTGCCTGCTTTCTGTCTTTCTCCTCTCTCCTGCCCCCGCCCCGTCTGTTCCCCAGAGCCAGCCCCAGGAAATAGCTAGAATGCACCACCGGAAACCCCACGTGTTGGGGTGCCTGGCCCACTGGGGGGTGGTGACAGGGATGAAATGTGCCAGCTCGGCTTCTGGCCCCTGGGGAGGACCCACAGAGGCTCTCCGCTGGGAGCCCATGGGCCCATGAGACTTTCCTCCTTGGTGAGCACTGGTCTTGTCTCTTTCCCACATCCACGCTGCATCGTTATCAGTGGGGTGACTCCTCCCTGTTGAGCGGCAGTTCTGGTCCTCATCCAGCGTAAGTTGTCTGCCCTGGCCCAACTAGGCTGCCAGGGCACCTGGACATGGAAAGGGGGCTCCTTGGACCCCTGAGGCCACTGTTCTGGAGTCTCTGGGCTTCCTAGCTCCCTCACAGACGAGTGTCCTTGCCTCCCTTCCTAGGTGGTGGCTGGCCCCAGGGGCAAATAACTCAATGAACTTACTGGGTCATCCACCTCGGTCCCAAACCAAACCAAACCCCGTGCTGTTGAGTTGACTCATAGCAACCTTATAGGACAGAATAGAACTACCCTATAGGGTTTCTAAGGGTGTAGTATTTACAGAAGCAGACTGTCACATCTTTTCCCCTGGAGTGGCTGGTGGATTCAAACTGCTGACCTTTCGGTTAGCAGCTGAGTGCTTTAACCACGTGCCACCAGGGCTCCTATCTGCCTCTGTCAGGGATTGTGAATTTGAAAAGAGGCTTTGATTCTGTAGGAAGGTGCTGTGAACTTGGGAGAGAGACAGATACCAGCCATAGTTAAAAGCATCTTTGATATTGTGAAAAAATGTGAAATTGTTCACTACAGAGGGTCTGGTAAGCAGAGCAACCACTGTGCTTCCCTTGCCTATTGGGTAATCTGCCCCTGGCCCTGCCCTCAGAACTGTGTGCGGTGAGCCCCGCGCCCGGCCCTCAGAACTGTGTGCGGTGAGCCCCGCGCCCGGCCCTCAGAACTGTGTGCGGTGAGCCCCGCGCCCGGCCCTCAGAACTGTGTGCGGTGAGCCCCGCGCCCGGCCCTCAGAACTGTGTGCGGTGAGCCCCGTGCCCTCCCCAGCTCTGCTGGCTTTCCCTGGAAGATTGATGTTTTCATTCGCCAGCATCCTAGGGGTGGGCTGGGGGATGCCGATCAGTTGGGGTTGGGGCTTCTTGGTGCCCTGGAGGCTGCTGTTGGGTTGTTTCCATTTGTGTGTCCAGGTGGCAGGAGAAACAACTCCTGGCTGGCGCTTGCCTCCAACATCGCCACCCTAAATCCATTCCGCTCTGCATGTCCGGCTTGCGTCCAAAAGTTCCCTCTAATCTCCCCAGGGGCCGCTTTTGTGAGCGCTCGGCCTAGCGCCCTGCAGCCTGCCTTTTCCGATAACAGAAGAGCCACTTTCCAACGTATTAAACTTTTAACATCCACCAGATTCAATTAATCTTATCTTTACAACTCCCAATTACAGGCGCTAATTAAGTGAGAGCCGCATTGTGGACTGGGGATATTGCATTAATCATCGCAGCCTTGCAGGCATAAATTAGTGTCTTCCAGTCCTCCGGCACCTCCCCACTAGCACTGGAAGGTTCCGCAGCCCCATGTGTGGGGACGCTAATCCCACAAAGGTGCTGGGGATTGGGATTAGTTTTGGTCATCTTTATGTAAATGGTGAAAGGCCATTTAAAGGAGAAGACCCTCAGCTTTGTTCTGATGATGGAAGATTCCTTGGTGATGGCAGAGTGGAAGGGGCTTTGGTCTCCCAGGTAGGGGCCCTGGGAGCGTGCCCAGAAATTGATTATTCTCATCCTATTAGATTAGAGACGACTTGATGTTTGCCTTATCGCCTCCCCTGGCCCTCTTTGTAGTTTATTAAAAAACATTTTAGACCTCTCATTTGAATGGGTTTAGTCTGGGTGTCCCTTCATCTTTCTTGTTTGTTCTGGTTTGAGGGTGGGAGGGATTGGCTGAGTTACATCATCTCTCTTCTGACTTGACTCATTCTAGAATGTGAGAGAGTGGCCCTTGTTATCCCAGAGCAGGAAGACCCCTCCCCCCCCACCCCTGCCCCTGCCCCGGCCCTGCTGACATGGGGGTCGAGTCATTCCCTGGTGCGGGGCCATCCTGTGCACTGCAGGGTGTTGAGCAGCATCCCTGGCCTCCACCTACTTGTTGCCAGTAGCACCCTCCCCCCCAAGGTGTGACAGCAACAAATATCCCCAGACATCATCCAGTGTCCCCTGGGGGCAGAATCACCCAGGTGAGAGCCCTTGGGTTAGGAGATTCCACTGACCCCCAGAGACACTGTGTCCCATAATCATCTGACCTACTGCCGTCCTAGGAGGCTGCCCACATTGAAATCTGCACACTGAGTGGGGAGCTGCGGGCAGGGGAATCATGGGAGCTGGAGGGTCCCCTGGGTTACACCGTCTGACCCAGCGGGAGTTTATTCTGGTGCGCGGTGTGAGCAGGAATCAAACTCAGTATTTTCCAAATAATTAATGAAGGGTTTCTCAGCCTCTACTCTGCTGACACGGGGGGCAGATCCCTCTCTGGGGTGGGGCCGTCCTGTGCGCTGTAGGGTGTTGAGCAGCATCCCTGGCTTCCACACTCAATGCCCGTAGCACCCCTAGTCGTGACACCCACAGATGTCCCCAGACATGGCCAGTGTCCCCTGGGGGCAGAATCATCTGGGTGAGGACCACTGTTCCCAAGTGTCTCCTGGATGGTGGAGGCAGCTGTAGCCCCACGGGCTCCCAGCTCCTGCAGAGATGAGTGTCCACCCTCCCACTGTGTGCAGTGAGGGCCCATGCCCTGCTCTGCTGGCTTGCACTGAAGACTGGGGGTGGGGGGCTGGAGGGGCACTTGGTGGTTGGGGGCTGCCCTGCCCTTCCCTCCCAGGACCCCGGTCCTTGAGTTGTCATCTGAGTGCATGGCGTTTTCAAGCTTTCATCTCTTGTGTTTGTTTATAACAGAGCCTCAGTAATTTTTCAAATGCAAAAATGTTTAAAAAGAAAGCTGAGGAACTGGTGACAAATGCTATCATTTTTTCATTCCTGAAGCTTCCTTTCCCTGCTGGCTGCCCGGCAGGGTGGGCGGAGTCAGCTCTGAGGGGGTGCTGGCAATGGGGGAGGCTGCAGTTCTGCTCTGTTCCAGACTGGGGGTCCTCTGTACGTCTCACCCCCCGGTTGTTTTTTTCTTTTTCTTTTCCTGCCTCATTGAGGTATAGTGCTGCTTAACTGGGGAGTCTCCACTGGTGGCCCCCGAGGTGCTGGCCCCTCTGCTTCTCTCCTGTTTTCCGCTCCCGGTGCCCTCGTCCTCGCTTCCCTGTGGAGTCTTTCCTTGACAGCCGCCCCCCACCCCATACCCTCCCTCACAACACTGACCACAGGTGCCAGCTGGCACTTCCTTGGGGATCATGTGCTGGGCACGGGTGTGTGTGACGGCCTTGCCATGCTCTGATCAGTGTGTGGGCACGGGTGTGCATGACAGCCTGGCCACGCTATGACCATGTGCTGGTCACGGGGGTGTGTGACAGCCTGACCACGCTGTGATCACCTGTGTGGGCGCAGGGGTGTGTGATGGCCTGCCCATGCTCTGATCAGTGTGTGGGCGCGGGTGTGTGTGACGGCCTGGCCACTCTCTGATCAGTGTGTGGGCGCGGGGGTGTGTGACAGCCTGGCCACGCTCTGGTCACGTGTTGGGCTCGGGATTTGTGATGGCCTGGCCACGCTCTGACCAGTATGTGGGCGCAGGGTTTGTGACAGCCTGGCCACGCTCTGATTAGTGTGTGGGCACAGGGGGTGTGTGACGGCCTGGCTGCACTCTGATCAGTGTGTGGGCGCAGGGGGTGTGTGACGGCCTGGCCACGCTCTGATCAGTGTGTGGGCGCAGGGTTTGTGACAGCCTGGCCGCGCTCTGATTAGTGTGTGGGCACAGGGTTTGTGATAGCTTGGCCATGCTCTAATCGTGTGTGGGTGCAGGGGTGTGTGACGGCCTGGCCACGCTCTGATCAGTGTGTGGGCGCAGGGGGTGTGTGACGGCCTGGCCACGCTCTGATCAGTGTGTGGGCGCAGGGTTTGTGACAGCTTGGCCACGCTCTAATCACGCGTGTGGGTGCAGGGGTGTGTGACGGCCTGGCCACGCTCTGATCGGTGTGTGGGCGCAGGGGGTGTGTGACGGCCTGGCCGCGCTCTGATCGGTGTGTGGGCATAGGGGGTGTGTGACGGCCTGGCCGTGCTCTGATCAGTGTGTGGGCGCAGGGTTTGTGACAGCCTGGCCGCGCTCTGATCGGTGTGTGGGCGCAGGGGGTGTGTGAAGGCCTGGCCACGCTATGATCAGTGTGTGGGCGCAGGGTTTGTGACAGCTCGGCCACGCTCTGATCAGTGTGTGGGCGCAGGGTTTGTGACAGCCTGGCCATGCTCTGATCAGTGTGTGGCTGCAGGGGTGTGTGATGGCCTGGCCACGCTCTGATCACGTGTGTGGGTGCAGGGGTGTGTGACAGCCTGGCCACGCTCTGATCAGTGTGTGGGTGCAAGGGGTGTGTGACGGACTTGCCATGCTCTGATCACCTCTGTGGGCGCAGTGGGTGTGTGACGGCCTGGTCACGCTCTGATCACCTGTGTGGGCGTGGGGGTGTGTGACAGCCTGGCCATGCTCTGACCTGCTTCCTTCTCTCTCTGGCAGGTACGCCATCCCCCCGGAGCATGGCAAGCGCCTGGAGCGGCTGGCCATCGGTAGGTGAGACCCCTGCGCCCGTGCTGTGTGGGCGGGCGGGCGGGCTTGAGCGGCCCTGGGGCTTTGTGTTTTGGGCTTTGGGGAGGGGGGTGCGCTCGCAGAGGTCGGTCCTGTCCTCCCACTTCCTGTCACCCCTGTGACCCGGCCTGCCATCTTGTCCCTTCCTGAGCCCCTACAGGAGCCGGGGTGTAGCACCCTGGATTCCCTGCGCCACCATCGGGAGCTGGGGCCTGATCCCCTCCTGGACGGCAGGGCGGCTGCCTTCTCTGCCTCCCTCCTGGGTCCTCCCGCTGCGCCACACCCTTTCCCAGTCCCCCGAAATCTTTGTCTGGTCGCGAGCACCAGGCAGTTCAGGTTCTCCTGAGGGAGAACCCGCTAGGCCCTTTGCTCTGGTTTTCCTGGGAAACGGCTCCCCAGGTCCCTCAGCACAGCTCTGCACTGTTGATGCAAGGGCCACTGTGCCGCCTGCGTTTAGAACCTTCTGGGGTCTCCTGGGTTGGAAGGAACTCGTCAGAGAGGCGGCCGTGAGAAGAGGCGAGAACCGCCTACGGTAGTCTGGGCAGGGCTTCGGACGGGAGACTTGGCAGCCAGAGCAAGCCAGAAGTGGGGGTGCGCCCCGAGGTGATGAGGAGCTGGAGGCGGCAGGGACCCCGCATCAGTTCTCTGTTGCTTCAGCTCCCACACTGATGCAGCCAGCTCTGCTTGTCCCAGCAGGAGCTCAGATGCCATCAGATGGCTCGGGGCGGGGGTGGGGGTGGGGGTGCTAAGAAGCGTTAAAAGCCCCGGCTGGCCCAGCAGTCTCCCTCCTTCCCGTGAGCTCAGAGAGCTGCTCTTTGGGGACAGCACACTGGCGGGAGCCGGCCTCTGGGCCAGCCACGGTGGCCTGGTGCGTGGAAGGGCGAGGGGGACCAGGCCCTGGGGTTCCAGAAGCCACTCTGAGCACACACGGGCCCCTCCTGGAGGCCACGGCGGCAGCTGGAGGTGGGTCTGAGGAGGCAGGCTGGCATGCAAGGCTCAGATTCTTCCGGAAGCTCAGCATGGTCCCAGGCATTCCTCACTGCTGGCTGTTGGCCACTGTCCTCTGCCCCTTCTTCACCCCTCACCCAAAGAGAGGTCTCCACATCTGTCTTCCCACCTCCCCAGGAGCTTTTCGACTTTGGAGATGGGAACGGTCAATCTTTGTGGAAGGAACAGGGTCTCCTGTCCCAGTGCTGTGCCCAGAGAGTCACGGTCTGTCTAGCAAATATTTACCAGATGTGGGTTTGACAAGAACGAAAGGGTCAGGGGCCAGTGGCAAGTGGGACAGGTGCTCATTCCCAGCCACGCGCGTCTGGGTTCTCCGTGAAGGCTTTGCCGTTGCTATTTCTTACCACTTTCATTGGAAACCGGGACGCTGCTTGTATGGAAGAGGCTGGACCCTGGTATCGGGGGATGCCCTTCTCATGGTAAAAAATTCTACAATTAAAAGCAGCCTAGTGGCAAAGTTCCGTTTCACTTTCTAAAGCACTAAAATAAAAACCGCATTTCCACTGACTGAAGAAAAGATCTCCCCCATTATGTGAGTTTCCTGTTGCTGCAGTTAACAGATCGCCCAGACGTAGTGGTTAAGGCGCTGAAAGTTCTGGAGATCAGACGTCTAAACTGAGTCTTCAGGGGTTCAGATCAGGATGTCAGCAGGGCTAGTTCCTTCTGAAGGCCGAGGGGAGGATCTGGGAACTTGTTCCTTTGCCTTTTCCTCTTCTGGAGGCTTCCGGCATTCCTTGGCTCCTGGCCGCATCCCTCCAATCTCTGCCTCTGTGGCCTGTCTTCTATTGTGTCAGATCTCCCGAAATCTTCCTCCTGTCTCCCTCTGAATACATGGGGCCCACCCAGATAAACCAGGCTAACCTCCCCGTCAAGATCCTCAGTCCCATCACATCTGCACAGTCCCTTTGCCGTGGAAGGCACCCTGTTCACAGGTTCTGGATGTTAGTAGACATCTTAGAAGTTGCTGTCGAATCAGCTCTGACTCATGGCGACCCCATGTGTGTCAGAGTAGTACTGTGCTCCATAGGGTTTTCTTCCATGGCTGATTTTCCCGAAATAGGTCACCAGGCCTTTCTTCTGATGTGCCTCTGGGTGTTCTTGAACCTTCAGACTTTCTGTTAGCAGCCAAGCGCATTAACCATTTGCACCACCCATGGACTCCTCGTGAATAATGCAGACTCATTAAGTGATACCTTGGTAGGCTGGGTTGACTTCCTAGAATTCTGGCCTGGCTGCTACCACCGGAGCCGGGTCAGGAAATGTGGTGGGAGGCACACATGGGAAAGTTGGGCCTCACTCTCCCCTCGAGGGCAGCAGAGCCTCAGAGGAAGGTCTTGGAGAGGTGAGTGTAGGGACAGTGAGTCAATGCCAACCTAGGGCCCCTCTGAAATTCTTGAGGGGACTGCATTGCGGACTCCATTATCGAGATGGGCAGAATGCGTTTACTATTAATATGGAAAATGAATAGCTGCGCTCTAACTGGACTCGCGGGGAGAGTTGTGGAGCCCATGGAGAGCGCATTGATGTGTTGGCGCATTATTGGTGCTAATCACTTAAAACGTGCGCCTTTATTAGCGCTTTAATGAGAGCCACTTAAACTGTACATTAAAAAGAAGAACTGCAGAGAGGCCGGCCGGCTGGGTGGCAGGCACTCATAATTCTAATTGAAATGCTTTTAGTGCAGACAAAAGTTGCTGGATCCAGTAATCCCTCACACTTTCCAGAACCCACCATCATGTCCTTGCACTCAGGCGCCTCTGCAGCCTGGGAAGCATCTGAGCCCCCGGTTTCCCGTGTTGACGTGTGCGAGTGTGGCCGTGTGCTGCACACACATGCACACGTGTGCCCTCGCTGTCTCCCCTGGCTGGGTTGGGTTTAACCAGCATCCTGTAGAGATGTGTACTGGCCTCGAGACCGGAGACCTAGGTCTGGGATGCGCTTCTGGAAGGTTCCTTGGGCCAGCAGCATCTGTGGGTCATTCCTGGAGGGAGAGTGGACACTCAGTGTGCACCCCATGTGGCTCTGTGGATGAGTCCTGCCCCTCATCCCATTTTAACCTGCATGATACCTCTTCTTTCCTGGCTGGTCATGGCCGTAAGGGGCTATATGTGCATGGGCACAGCCTGGGGCAGCTGGTGGTAGACCAGCACCCTGTGTAGTGAGCAGTTAGGGAAGTCGGGGTAGACCAGCACCCCATATGGTGAGCAGTCAGGGTAGACCAGCACCCCATACAGTGAGCAGTCAGGGAAGTCAGGGTAGACCAGCACCCCATATGGTAAGCAGTCAGGGTAGACCACTACCCTGTGTTGTGAGCAGTCAGGAAAGTCAGGGTAGACCAGTGCCCCATGTGGTGAGCAGTCAGGGTAGACCAGCACCTGTATTGAGCAGTTGGGGTAGACAGCACCTCTGTTGAGCAGCTGGGGTAGACAGCACCTCTGTTGAGCAGCTGGGGTAGACAGCACCTGTGTTGAGCAGCTGGGGTAGACAGCACCTGTGTTGAGCAGCTGGGGTAGACAGCACCTGTGTTGAGCAGCTGGGGTAGACAGCACCTCTGTTGAGCAGTCGGGGTAGACAGCACCTGTGTGTTGTTGAGCAGTCGGGGTAGACAGCACCTGTGTGTTGTCGAGCAGTCGGGGTAGACAGCACCTGTGTGGTGAGCAGTCGGGGTAGACCAGCACCTGTGTGGTGAGCAATTGGGGTAGACAGCACCTCTGTTGAGCAACTGGGGTAGACCAGCACCCTGTGTGGTGAGCAGTCGGGGCAGATAGTGCTCCATGTCATGAGCAGTAGATAGCACCTTATGTCATACGGTTGGGGTAGACCAGCACCCATGCTGTGGACAGCCGGGGTAGACCAGTGCCCTGTGTCGTGGGTAGCCGGGGTAGACCAACATTCCATATAGTGAGCAGATGACTTACTTTCCACAGTTACAAGGGAGGCCTTGTCCTTCTGAGGAGGGTGCCGAGGCCTGCTGCCCTCCGGTCGTCATAGGGGAGTGGGTGCTGAGCTGGGAGGTGGTGAATGGGTCAGGGCTGTCCCTCCTGTATCTTCCTGCATCTGTGGTGCTGGCCGCAAGGGAGGTGTCCGTGCCCTGCGAGGGGGACAGCTCCTCCAGACTCCCTGGGGCTCCTTGCCCAGCACAGCGCCTTCTGCGTTGGGGGGCTGTGCGCTCAGCTCTGAGCATGTCTCTCCCGTTAGCCCTGCTTTGTGGGGGAAGGTAGAGGAGGAGGCAGAAGGGACCCACTCAGCTGCTGTCAGGCAATTGCCGGACTTGTTTTTCTTAAAGAAACATGTGCAGCATTGATTTGCACGTCAGCTGCTGAGTGACTGGGATGCAGCTCTGGAATGTGTTAGTTCAAACCTGTTCGTGAGCAGGTGGCACCGATGGGCCGAGTGCCTTCTGTTTCTGGGTGTTAGTTCAGATTCCATATGCAGTCTCCTGTTAGATGAGAGTCGTACACACACCTTGGGGGCCTGATGGGAACCCCACCCATGTTGCCTTGTGTGCTGGTGAACAGGGGTCCTGCTCGGCCGCTTCCTGCGCCTCTGTGTCGTCACCTGCCGGCGGCCGTGGGCACAGGTGTGCCGTGTGGCCTGTGATGGTGCTGAGACAGTGCACAGTGTGTGCAGAGGCTCTGACAGGACTTGGGACACTCAGTCCCACGCTGGGACCACTCCAGTTACTCACAACACGGGGGGCCGGTCTGCCCAGCCGCCCACAACACGGGGTGCCGGTCTGCCCAGCCGCCCACAACACGGGGTGCCGGTCTTCCCAGCCGCCCACAACACGGGGTGCCGGTCT